GCGCGGGGGTTTCAAATATATTTTCCGAGGTGCATGAGCAGAACACATTGCAATTAAACAAACATAGTAGACTAATTTTTAGGGATAACATAGTGTGTATTTATCTTATATCTATTGTATACATGCAGATATAGACGAATGCAAAACTCCAAACAAGTGCCCAGCTAAGCACAAATGTGTAAACATGCCTGGCTTCTATGAATGTCCTTGTAAAGACGGATACGAGAAGGGAAATGGCGACGAGTGCGTGAGTAAGTACCACCGAAACTTCCAATTCGAGATTTTTCGTAAAGGTTTGAATAATTTAAATCCCTGATGCTGACCAGACAGTTTGCTGCCCCAAAGGTGCTGCTGCATACAGAGTAGTTTCTCGAAGAATTTTCGATCATACACAGTAGTTTCTCAAAGAATTTTCGATCCCCACGCGTTTGTAAAATCGGAACGAGAATTCTCTGTTACCGGTTTGGTTTATTCAGGAGCCTTCTGCACACGCTTTGCTGGAATAGGGCAACGAAGTTCCCATGCGCAACAACAATATCAAGCTATGTTTTGCTGTGAACAATTTTCTTCTCGTGGCTAGTTGTCCTTGCGTTCATCCGAGTTAGCTGACCCTAAGAGTATTGCAACATCGAGCTTTTCATCGAAGAGGTCAAGAGAAGCAAAGTTCTTTTTGCTCTTCTCCAGCTTAACAAGCAAATGCATGTGATTTACCTTTATAGAATTGAAATGTTCATGCGGTGACAATGGTAAGTGCGATGACGACGGAAAGTGTACTTGTAATGAAGGATATGAAAAAGATGGAGAAGGAGTATGTGAAGGTAAGTGATTACCTTTACTTGCCTCATCATAATGGTCTTTGGATTGAGATAAACCGATAAATTTCTATGTGCTGCGTAGCTCTTTGGTTAAATTAGAGTGCGTGCAAAGTGTCATGGCTTTGAAAAATCTCCATACGATATTGGTTTGTTCGTTGTTGGGAACAACGGCCGCTGCAAGATTTGTTGTGGTAAGGGGCGAAGAAGTAAATGCATTTTCCGTGCAACAAGAGAACTAGAACACCAGAAAGAAAACTTTGTATGCTCAAAAGTTTTTCAAGGAATTTCTCTAAAGTTGCGACAAAAGATAAATTTTATTCTGTTTGTGCTAAACAACCTCCAGCTGTTCAAAAGTTCGCAGTGAAAAGAGTCTGAAAATAGCAGTATCTGATAATTTAGGCTTAACAGGCGGTGTTATATGTAAACCTTGATCATAATTTGGGAATCGGGTATTTTGTTTGTATGAACACAGTATTTAAATAACAACCAGCTTTTCAATCTTTACCTTGAATATCTATTATACTTATAATAAAAAGAAAACTACACGTTAGCTCGAAGATATAAATTTTATGTTCGAGTGGCAAGAGCAATAGCTCACTAGTTCGATGCGCTCCCTCGTGAGATATTGTTCTTGCCACTCGAACATAAAATTCATATCCATGCGCCACCGTGTAACATCCTCCATTCATCATTTTCTTTTCTTTTATTATACTAGACATTGACGAGTGTAAAAAAGGGGCAAAGTGCACCGGTGATGGAGAGAAGTGTGTAAATGAACCAGGGGGACACTCTTGCTTATGCAGAGCGGGATATGTAAATAATCATGGAGGATGCGTCAAGGAACCTCGTAAGAATTTGTTGGCATAATATGAATGTTCTTGTGTATGATAGCGTCCTCGAGTAAATTTATCTGCTTCCTGATGAGGGATACCTTAATCCTAGGTCTCTCTCCTTTTCGTCAACCAAAATTGATGGTCGTACGTGATGCTTATTAGGTTTTTAAACTGTATTAGTCTGCGACTCTTGCAATAAAGAAAGAATTTGAAACGTCACAAGCACTGACAAGTAACGAAACACATGCACTATCCCTCGTGGAATTGCTTAGAGCTGGTTAATCAAGTGAAGGTGGACATCAATAACACTAGAGGATAAAGTTCGTATTCAAAGGCAGGCATGCAATATCCTCTATCTATCTTGAACAGAATGCAAGTGTACATCGCACGAAGAATGCTTCAACGGAAAGTGCAGGTGCAAGAAAGGATACAAGAGGAACTCAAAAGGGATGTGTGCTCGAAAACGTAAGTACTATTCACGAGTGAAAAAAGACGTATCCTTTTAATTTGGATACTTAGACTCTGAACTCTAATTGTGCGGCGGCTCTTACTTTCCTGGTATGAATTTCCATCTGTTCGTCATTTGGAGGATAAATTGTGTTAAGATCACTTGATTGAGCCAATGGTGTTCTTTGTTATCAGAATGTATTTCAAAGGGTAAGAAATATGTATTTAGTCTAATAGAGAGCGAGAGAAAATATACTTAACAATCTTTGATCATATTATTCATTTTCTATATTTCTATGTTATTCATTTTCTATTTTTTTTAAGGTGGCTTAGTTGGTTCAGGCTACTCTGTACACGTCACCAGTCACCTGGGCACCCTCGGCCTCGTCCTTATGCTGCTTGGGCGCTTGGCCGTTACAGCATGAGGAACCGCGCCTACTGCTTGCTTTGCTGCTGCATGCTCATTCTTTTAACTTTTCTCTTTTTGTCTTACAAAAAATCTGTATAAAATTATTGTATTTGTAAGAGATACTTCTATACGTGGTACAAATCTATACGGATGATTCAAGAAAGTTTGAAAAAATTATATTTTTAACTCCTTACACTGATATCTACCCTTTCAAACATAATTTTTCACGTTCAAATAACTGTTTATCTGAACATCATCAATTGTACTCTTTCACTCGTTGTTTCATTGAGTTTGTTTCGTGTCTCTTCAAAGATTTCTTACTATTTTTTAACACAACCATCAAGTCCTCTTGTTATCCTGAATGATGTGAAGTTACGTGAAATTTTTCCTGATATTTGATGTCAAACATTACCAGAATTGAACTTCTTACCTTGTCAATCAATAAATTTGCTTCGCCTTGCTTTGCTCGCTTAGAAAAAAATGTTGTCTTTGATGATCTTTTGTCTGTATGAATTGGTCTCCCGGGAAGACACGAGGGAATATATATCGCACAATCTCAGCTGACTGAAAATCTCCCTTTGATGATTGAGAGGATGAAATTATCAGTCATGATGAAAAGCAACGGAGTCAATAGCTTACTTAAACTTTTAAACAACGAACAAGGTTACATTCCTTAACAAAAAAATTCTTAAAAAATCTCAATTCCGGAGTAGAGCGACCTATTCAGGTTTTCGATTGGGTTATACTAGTTTAGGACTGGGGCTCAAAAGAAATAAGTATGTACTTAAACAATTATACGTGAATAGCCTAAAACGCGCGCACCGATTGGCTACTCAAACTCCGAATATAGTTTGTTAGTATATGCCACTAAGGTTACTATTCACCTCTTCACAATGATTGTTAATAATGAAATTTTCAACTCCAAGTAGTGCATTTCTAGTGTTCTGATTGGTTTATCAGTTCATTTTCTGAATCACCTTATAGAAATGCATTGCACCAACTGTTGCGGAGCTGGAAAAAGGCTCCGCCAAATAACCAAACTTTTCGCACTTGTTGGATGCAAGACTGGTTAAGCCAAATCAACGCTACGCGCCATGTTGGCTATTTACCATCACATTTTCAATGCGCGCCCAAAAATTTTATAATCGTTGCAGGAATGAATGAGTCAAACTCATCCTTTTGTGCTACATTATCTTACTGCTTTAGTATATACTACAATAACTATTCACCTTAGTATCGGTGGTTAGCGATGGATATCTGCTTCGTTGCTCGGTAAATATCCACCTCCAGCCACCTCTACTTCAATAAATAGGTAAATAGTTGAAAGCATACACTGCAAAAAGTATGATTCTTAAGTGAAAAACTCAAAAAGAGTGTTTGAACTGAAATATGAAGTTTTCACTGAAATTAGCGCAATTATGTCAACCAAGTGTACTTCGCTCTCAAATAAGAATCAATTTCCCTTAAAAAACAATTGAAGCCCCAAAACAAGAAAAAATTTCCCCTTTTAAAATAATATTCCCTTAACAAAGAGTCACTTAAAATGCATTGCACTTATATCAGTGTCTTCTATTTCTTTTAAGTGTATCTGCTTGGAAGTAGGTTCAAATTCCCTAAAGAATGTAGGACCAGGACCATATTCATTACCATTAAATATTGAACCAGCACTGCAATTCATGGTTGCCTTCTTTTGATGGTGATTGGATAAGGATAAACAAATGTTCTTCAAATTCAGTATTTTCTTAAGGTCTTTGAAGTATTGATGTTTTGCCTCAAAACGCATGGCCTACAAGTTTATCAGTGGACCAAGAAGAAGCATAACTTTTGGAAAATGTGTAAGGTAGTGCTGCTTTGGAGTAAAAGGTTGTTCAGGAAAAAGTTCATTGAAGAGTCTCAAATATTCAGCAACATTTTCCTCTAGCTGTGCTATGGTTTCAAGGCTAACAACTGATGCAAAGCAAATTTCTGTAATGTCACTTAACAAAATGTATAGCTCCCAGTGGCTGTCAGAAAAGTTAATACTGTCTCCAACAACAAACAGAAAAATGCGAAAGAGTAAACAACATTTTGCTGCATCTTGATTCAGAGTTGTAGAACCATGGAGATCTTTTTCACATATATGGTTGGGCTTATCAGTTATTTCCATGTAACTATATGGGATACTTTGAATGGCACTATTTATTGTTGCAAGATTGGTTACTTTAGTGTCAATATAATGTTTTATAAGAGCTTGTAATGTTAGGGGTGGAACTCCCTCTGAGAGAACATGCATAAAATCTGGAGGAGTTTGTTTAAACATATCGAAGTGTGGAAAGTCAGTGAGGATACTTTTCCTGTTAATACCATGACTGGTTCTGTAGTGGTCCTCAAGGGTCTGAGTGGCTCCACTGATCACACTACATTGCTCTAAATGCTTCTTGAG